TGGGTTTTGGTTTGCATTTTAGAAGAGAATGCATACCCCCAGTTTACAATTTTATATAATGTAATGCAAATCATCTCGAATATGATATCACTACATTTTTATGCTATGGTTGACTTCTTTCTCGTATTTCTTTTTCTTATGCTAAAATGGGGAAGATGGATTAGATGATTATACATGATAAGGGGAATGTTGAAAGGGGGAAAGTTATAAATTGCATATTAAAAGGGGGAATATAAGTGAAAACGATAGGAGGAATATATGTATGCAACTTTATTCCTTATCAATTTGTTTAATTTGAACATTGCAAATCATCTTGTTTGTCATAATCAAAAAGGGGGAAATTGTTGACATATGGTTAACGTCTCGTTTTGATTATCACAAACAAATTGCGTTTATTTCTAACAAATTGATTTCGAGTGTCTAAAGTGATTATTGCAAATCAATAAAATTGGAGGCACGAAGTTCAAGGCCAAGTCATTTGCATGCAACGATCGACATGGAAACAAAATTGATCAAACGAGGCTATGAAGATTGATATTGACAAACTCGCAAAAAGATGCCTCAACAAGAATCGAGATAAAAGTCGAAGTACAGTCAAGCATACACGTCAAGACGTTCAAAATGAAGCGCTTAGACTTTTTATACTCATATGTAAATGTAAAACACTTTAGTACTTGGCAATGAATCGTGACAAGCTCAAAATCGATTTTACGCTCGAAAAATCACAATACAAAAATGTTTGTATAAAGATTATTTTTCAAAGGTAAAAATCTCAAAATTATATTTGAAAAGTGTCACTTACCTTGAAAAATCTTTTTAAAACGTCCCTCGATAAGAGTCCTTTTGAGATTGCTACTAGCCAGCAATCGTTACTCCCTCATACTGTGGATATCGATCAAAGTATCAAGTCTCCTCAAGCAAAAAGCTTCTCTCAAGAGTGGAAACAAACATTGAAATTGCTCGTAGTTATCTTAAGAAAGCTCAAAAATGGTACAAGAATTCTGCAGATCAAAAATGCTATTTCCTTGAATTTAATGTTGGAGATCTGGTAATGGTTAAACTCCCTGATAGAAACGTTTATAAACCGACAAGAGGGAAAGACTCAAGATTGATGCCAAAATATATTGGACCATTACCCATCGTGAAGAAGATTGGAAGAGTCGCGTACAGAGTTGAACTCCCTTCATGGTGCAAAATCCACAAGGTCCTTCATATTGGCGTATTCAAGGCATACTTTGCCGACAAGGAGGACGCATCTAGATATGAGCTAAAGCGACCTGTGTTTGAACTGAGAAAATTCGGAAAGAAGGTTGCAGAAGCTATATTGGACCATCGTACTACTCGAGCTTCTAGAAAATATCATCAAGAGTAATTGGTCAAATGGAGTGGTTGCAGCAGCGAGGAGAATACTTAGGAAAGAGAAAAAGACATTGGAGCTTTCAAACCATTAATTGAAGAATATCATGCATTGAGGGCACCGAGGATATCGCCAAAACAAATGGGAGTGAATATCAAGGACCGCAGCTTCAACTAGCCCCTTGACCCAATCTGTAGTTTTCCCAACTTCGGACGCACATTGTAAATATTTTATTTCAATTGTAAAATAGATGTGATATTGGAAAAGTTTAGTATGATTCCTGGACATTTAAAAGTCTACTTTTATCACTTAGGTTTTTGTGTAGAATGCTATTATAGGGGGTATTAGTCTTTTAAACAATCTTTCAAGCTTTCTAGTGTTCGCTCACTGTACTAGCCATTGTAATTTCCTACTTTCGTCAATTGTAATTTCTAGCTTTCAAACAATCAATGATCAATTTACATTCAATGCATTTCAATTTCATGTTGCAAGTTTTCTACAAATTGTGATCAAATTGTCTTTCGTCTCAAAATGATGAGAGAAGGCGGAAGGTAGTCTAGAGGAGCAGACTACTGCCGCACGGTATCCCTTTCTGTGCTAAGAAGAAAGGCACCTCGTGAAACTTGGTGTTGTCGATGGAAGATGAACAAGTATTATTAAGATTAGGATTTATCCATATCCAATTAGGGCTAGGCCTCCAGAATATGCCATAATAATCAGACTTGATGACGACGCTGCAATGTTATTGCTGGTAATGAACACCTCATTCCCCACACCTAGAGCTCCAATGTCATCAGATGAGAACTGGAGGTATTTGTTGGGATCACACAGGCCCCAAATACACCAGGAATAAGAAGAACACAAGAGGTTTTTCGTTCAAAGGCCCGAATGTTCACCCAAATTAGGACTAGTCACCCGTTGAGCATACACCAAAGTGGTTATCGCTCCAATCGACTAGAAATCAACAATAATCAATAAAAGTATCACAATACAAAAATCCACAAAAGGATTAAGCCCTCAGACCCTAAGTTTTCTCTCAAGAAACCTTCGAATGATTACACTAAGTAACCAAAGGTTACGCTCAACAGAAAAACCAGATTCACCACAACAACACCTTGACTAACACTAGATCTCACCAAGAATATCTAGAATTGAAGATTACATGGTGAAAACTAAAGGTTTTCAGAGAGAATACAGAAGCGTCCAACAGATACATCCATCACAGTTGGCATCATCTCAGCCTTATTCACAATGAAATGGGCTGCCAGGTTGCATTCAGAAATGGGCTGGACACAACAGAATATTGGGATGCATCATAGGGCTTACAATAGTTATCAGTTTGGGCTTCATCATTTGGGCCCAAAATTGTTAAGCAACCACTGTTTAATAATCTCCACCTTGCTTGACATTTTGGGTTTCATAGTAGATTGATGATTAACTTCTCCTTCAGTTTCATTTGCTCTATATGTTTAGTTCTGTCATGAAAAACAGGATTTATACTAAGATGTATAGTAGATTGACTGTCAGAAAATATAATAGCATCATTAACAGAAAAACCAATTTCATCCAACAAGTTTTTCAGCCAAATACTTTGCTTTACAGCATCAGTAGTTGCAATATATTCAACCTCTATTGAAGACATAGCTACAATCTTTTGCAAATGTGATTTCCAACTTATGCAGGTATCATTTAAAGTAAAAACATATGCAGAGGTTGATTATCTATTATTATAGTTACCAGCAAAGTCTGAATCAACAAAGCCTTTCAGTCTAATTCTAGTTTTACTCTTACTGAACATAAGTCCTAAGTTAGAAGTTCATTTTAAGTATCTTAACAACCATTTCATGGAGTTCCAATGATATTCACCAAGATTACTCATATATCTACTTAAAACACTTATAGCAAATGCAAGATCAAGTCTGATACATGTCATTATATACATAACAGAGCCAATAGCATTTACATAAGGGACCTTCTCCATCCTATTCTTCTCTATTTCAATTTTAGGACATTATTCTACTGAAAATTTAAAGTGACTGCCAAGAGGTAAAGTGACATCTTTAGAATTTTTCATAGAAAATCTAGATAAAATTTTAGAAATATAAGATTGTTAAGTAAGAAACATATTATGATCACTTCTCATCATTCTAATTTCCATTCCTAGAATCCTTTTAACTTCTCCTAGGTCTTTCATTTCAAATTCAAGTTTTAATTTTTGCTTAATGATATCAATTTCAGTTATAGCACACTCAACAAGTAACATATCATCAACATATAGTAAGAGATAATAAGAATTAGGGCTTCCATTACCCTTATAGTAAAAACATGGATCATATTCACTTCTATTGAAATCAAGTCCTTTAAAAAGGTATCAAACCAGATATACCATTGCCTAGGGGTTTGTTTCAAGCTATAAAGTGAGTTTTGTAAAAGGCACACATAGTTTTCTTTTCCTTTTTGTTCAAAACCTTTTGGTTGAGTCATATAAACTTTCTCATCCAAGTTTCCATGTAAAAAGACAGTTTTGACATCTAACCGTTCTAATTCAAAATCAAATTGTGAAACAAGTGAAAGTAAAACTCTTATAGAGGTGTATTTGACTATATGAGAAAAAATTTCAATGTAGTGGCTGCATTAAAGGATAATATGGACATTTGTGATGTTGTCACTGTTGCAGAAAAGTTTTAAATTCAATTTGCAGCTTTATAATCTGTCAACGGGTCCACTTATAATAACATTTTGGTCAAAAATGTTTTATTAGTTTATTATTATTTAAACTTTCATAAAGTAAAAATAAAGAAGAGAAGGACGCTTATATATATGCCGTCATTTTTTTTCAAAGTGTTACTGTGAACTAACTTCATCTGCGAATTATCTTCATTACCCTTCATTGATTTAGTTGTTTTTACTTTATTACCCCCACCAAATACCTTTACTTCATTCAACAGTTGTGGCTCCATTCAATTGGAAATATGGACATTTGTAATGTTGTCACTGTTGTAGAAAAGTTTTAAATTCAATTTGCAGCTTTATATTGTGTCTGCGGGTTCCACTTATAGAAAGAAAAAAAGTTTGGAATTAACTCAAATTTAATTTTCTTCAAACTAATATGGGATTTTAATCACAAGTAAAACAATTAAATCATAATGTACTCAATTCAACTTGAAAGTAATGTAATTTAGACTAGGTTGGTGGTGGTAGGATTTGAAACCTTTTCAAAATTCTTATCCACAAATAAATCGTCAATCTTAACCATCAACTTCATGGATCCCACTACTTTTATCACGTTTTTAATCACACATCTCAAAAAAACTTATCCACATTTTCCAATTATTATTAGCTCAACCAAATTGGGCCTAAGTAAAATGAAAGCTCAATTTCCCTATAAATAGCATGTTGAGTTGGAGTGAGGAAATCACAGAAGCAAGAGAAATATTACATTAATATTGCTAGAGAAATGGGAGACACATATGCCTCGATACTGTTGCCAAGCTATGTTGTATTGCAATCGTAATACAACTCTAAATACTTGAGCTACATCAATGACAACACCCAGCTTCATGGATTTCTGAGGTTCTCTGGAGAGCAAGCTGTGAGCCCACACGCAAAGTATGAAGTAGAGCGTGCAAAGAGTAGTGCTAATATGGGACTTGTGCACATAAGATGCAGCTACAACAACAAATACTGGCACAAGCAATCGGAGAATTCTCTTTGGATTGCACCCTTGCCTGATGAATCAAATGAAAACCATTCCGATTGGTCATGCACTTTGTTCAAGCCCATCTACGTGAATGGTCAAGATGCTACTCAAGGCATTCACTTTCGTAGTGCTTAGAACAAGCACTATGCATGCTTGGGCGAGCTGCAAAACCCTATTCTTCCTGCTTGTATACAGGTTCAAAATCTCCTAACAATGAATTGTGCGATGTGTGCACAATCATCGATTGGGAAACCTTGCTGGTATTGCCTAAGCATGTCGCCTTCAAGGGCAATAATGGGAAATACCTTACTGCTGCCTTCAAAGAGGGCCACCAATACGTCCATTTCTCATCTGATGACATTGAAGCTCCAGGTGTGGGGAATGAGGTGTCTATTACCAACAATGGCAGCGTCGTCATCAAGTCTGATTATTATGGCGAATTCTAGAGGCGCAGCCCTAATTGGATATGGGCAGATACTAATCTTAATATTACTGGTCCATCTTCCATCGACAACACCAAGATTTGTAATGACTTGCTATTTTGGCCCATTAAACTTGGAGATAAGGAAGTAGCTCTCCGCAACTTGGGTAACAACTAATTTTGCAAGAGGCTCACAACTTAGGGAAAGGAAAGCTGTCTGAATGCAGGAGTGTCCACAATTTCAAATGAGACTAGGCTTGAGATCTCAAAAATTGTTGTTTCAAGGGACATCTACAATGTTGATTATCATCTTCTAGACTCTAGGATCTATAACCAGACTATGATCACAATGGCCACCGAAAACGTCGTTAATGACTCCCAAGAACCTAACACTGTAGACCTGAAGGTCAGCTACGTTGAGACTAAGACCGCCACTTGGAACCTCAGTGTTTCCTTGAAGTTGGGTGCCAAATTAACCTTTGAAACCGGGATTCCGCTAATCATTGATGGTAAGGTTGAACTGTAACGACCCGGGTCCCACTTAACGGGCTGTCCTGGCAGTTAGATTGACGACGTACTGTCCCCACTGTACCAACATGAGTTTTTTCAGCATGCTTTATCCTCATTCGTACGTTCCCCAAGAAAACTTCCCAGGGGGTCACCCATCATAGAATTGCTCCAAGCCAAGCACGCTTAACTCTAGAGTTTCTAACGATGGATTTCCGAAAAACAAGGTGCACCTTCTTTTTGTCACAAATGACTAAGGGTGCAATTTCAAATTCAATTTTAAACATGAATATATTACAGTCCAAAAAGCAGTTGATAACATGCACAAGCATAATTAACAAGTAGTAAACCTCCCCCATACTCAATTTAAGTCAGAATTGAGAAAATTGTATAAGTAACTCATNATTTTATAAGTGACCCATGTGTAAAGTGTCACTAATCCTTTGTAAGTAGGACTCCAAACCTTAATTTTGTGAGAAGTGATATGCTAAACATCACTGCCAATAAGTATATTCCTCTACTTATGAAAGTCAAACCATAAAGCACAGTAGAACCTATAAATTCATGCTCATTTTGTATTAATATTTTATTTTCTCCCCCTAATTTTGAGCAGAAATATTTGTTTATATTTTTCAATATTTTAAGCTCATAATTATTTTTCACATCTTAAGTGCAGACTCTTCTTCATTAAGCAACTAAAATGATTCCTGTAACGAGCTAGGGTGGGCAAAAACCGAACCAACCCGAAAAACCCGACCGACCCAAACCAACCCGATCGGGTTGGGTCGGTTTTTTTCCATTTTTTTTCTCGAGTTGGGTTCTGGCAAAGCTTAGTGGGTCGGGTTGGGTCGGGTTGTGGGTTAATCCATCCAACCCGACCAAACCCGACCCAACCCAACCCGTCAATAAAAAAAAAAAAGGGCCATTTTTTTT